CCTCATCGAGCTTCTTGTGAACGTATATGGGTTGGACGACGCCCCAGTGGCGTGGAGGCGCACGGTGGCGAGTTACTTGGAGCAGAACGGCTTCGTCCGAAGCCTGTTGGAACCGTGCTGGTGGATGCGATATGGGTCCCAGGGCCAAATCCTCAATATGATGCTGCTAGAGGTAGACGACTTCATGATCGGCAGTTGTGACTCGACCTCGAGAGCTTGGCTCCGGCAGCTGCTGGAAGCCAGGTTCAAGTTCGGCAAGTACCGGGACTGCCACGAGAGTCCAGTGGACTTTGCCGGACGACGGATCACGATCGGAGAGCGCAAGATCACGGTAGATCAAGAAAAATACATCCTTGAGGAGGTTCGGCCTTTGAGCCTGGCCAAGGGAAGAATGTCTCGCAGTGACTCCCCACTCGAGCCTGATGAGTTTCGAGCACTAAGATCCTTGGTATACAAGTTCAACTGGGTCGGCAGGGAGCCCAGGCCCGAGGCCGCAGGCATAGCATCGATCTTGGCCAGTCGCCTGAAGAATGCGACGATCTATGACGTGTCCTGTGCTAACAAGTTAGTTAAGCATCTACGGACGACGGCCTCCCGAGGGCTGACGATCTGGAGCCTCGACCCCGACCGCATGGCGTTCGTTTCGTTTTCCGATGCCGGGGGAGTAGGAGCGGACATCAAGATGAATGACGATCGAGGGCTCCCGGCCGACCCAACCCAGGGGGCCTGGATGGTGCTGGCGACTGACAAGTCCGTGCTGCTTAATAACTCGGTCAAGGCCTCGTTCCTGGGCTGGAGGAGTAGCAAGCTGAGGCGCAAGGTACCGTCTACCTTGGCCGGGGAGACCCAGGCATTGTCAGCCGCCGTGGCGGAGGTGGAGTACCTTCAGGTGCTCTACCGGGACGTGATGTTCCAGGACGTGGACGTCCCTGAGTGCCGACGAGCGTCCGGCCCCTTCACTACCGTGCTTCGTAGGGACTGTAAGTTAGGTTCCCGAGAGAACCAAGTACATGTTGTGGATGCAAAGTCTATTTACGACACTATGTTGAAGGAGGGGAACGCCAGCGCCAAGGACAGGCGCACCGCCCTGGACCTCGCAATAATCTGCGAGGCGCTAGAACGAGCGCGCGGGAGCGTGCGATGGATTCCCCACGGCAGGATGCCAGTCGATCCACTGACAAAGGACGACATCACCAAGAGCAATGCCGCCCTGTTTGACCTCATGGTCCGAGGCCGTCTTATCCTTGTGGACGAGAGCTCCGAACTTGATCGTCGCAGGGCTTCGCCAGAGCTCAAGGATCGCTCCCAACTAGCGTCTCGAAGACAGTTGGCCCGGAGTCAGAGCATGTTGTCGTGGCAGGAGTTCCAGGACCAGGAGCTCTTCCAGGTGGTGGTGGTGGTGGTCCTACCTCTTCCCTCCTCTCTCCCTCTCGGCCGGACGGTCCTCCCGGGCTTCCCTTTCCATTATTTCAATAGCTTCCCGTCGTTGCTCCCATCCCTGTCTTGTTTCCCTGACTACGGCCGTCCTGGGGGGCGGAGGCTCCCATAGGAAGCCGCGACCGTGTACTGCGCTTTTCCGCGAATGGGTGGTCACAGCTTCTCCTGACATGGGGGGGGCTGAACCTAGAAGAAAGTTTGACCAGTGTTGCAGTGGTGCAGATTTTCCCCGATAGGTTCAGCTTCAGGAGCTTCTGTCCGTGACCAATGTGGCTCAAGGGTAAAACACCTAGTCTGTCTCCGTCTGCCGCACTCTTCCGCCTCCTCCTCCTCCTCCTTCTCCTCCTCTTCCTCCTCATCCTGCCTCTCTTTCTGCCGGCCGAGCCGGGCTGCCCGGCCGAACCGGGGGCGAAGGACGAAACGAGACGAAGGAGGGAGGAGATGAGGGAGAAGACGAGGGCGCGCGGCAACGAGGCAGGGGCAGCGGCAACGCGGATAGGGGAGGAGACGAGGAGGCAACGAGTACTCAGCCCAACTCCGCTACTGCGTCTCGAGAAACGATGTGGACTGTTCTCAGGTCCCATCGATTGTCTTTCCAAGGGTATGAATATTATCATAAAACCCACATCCCGGAGTTCCAGGCGACCCAAGGATTGGTCGCGTGACCTCCAGACCCCAAAAACACCATTTCGCCTGAGACACCATCGAACAATCTGGCCCCGAGGGTGATACTCGAGTTTGGCTACCGAACCCAACCATCCGTAAATTACGCCACATTCGCGGCCCCGAAGCCACGACCCCCCATAAAGTGCGCCATATCCGCGCCCCCGAGGCAACGATCTCTGGTAAATTAGGCCATGTTCGCGTCATCGCCGTTGTCGTCGTCGTCGTTTCGGACCTCGGTCCCCGAAAGAAGCCCCCAGAAGCCCCCCAAGAGGCCCAAAAGTGGCCCCACGAGGGCCTAGGTAAACTCAAGAGAGCCCCAAGAAAGCCCCAACAGGCTCCCAAGAGGCCCCCAAGAGGACCCCAAGAGGCACCCAAGAGGCCCGAGGAGGGCCCCGCGCCGCCGACGAAATTGCGTCCCGTAAGATTATAATTTACGGGAGACACATCCTCTATACTTTTTACGATTTTAACGCACGGGGCACCCTCCCAGACCCCCCCGATAGGGGCCCTCTTGGGACCCTCGTGGGACCATTGCCGACCGCCGACGGCCCCCTTCCGACCCCCTGGAAAATCTCTGGGAGCCAAGAAGGTGCATGCATCAACGCACATACGATAAGAATGCAAATGCGCTATGGTAGGGTGCACATACCGATGGTGAAGAGAATGATGATGATTGGGATGACGTCGCAAGACGTCGGGCACGCACGGCGATGATGATGTTACTTTTGTTGGCATACAACAACCAATGCTTCGATGACCGCGAACTGCTGCGTCCAACTGTATACGCAACAGCGTTGAAACGCTCGGCCTGTCAGCGCCTGCGCGAGCCAACAGCGAAGCAGAGAAAGACGGCGATGAAACCAGGAAGTACATCGCGCGAATCGTGTCTGAGGCCCGTCTAAGCGCGAAGGTCTGCGACCTTCATCTGCGCGCGCAAAAGCAGTGCACAAGTCTGGCCGCTCGGCTCCTGCACGAGCCAGCAGCGCGAATAAAGATTGGCAAGAACAGATACGCGGCCAACTGGTAATGATTTGAGAAGCGTTGCCATGGCCTGCCACGGGTCCACGCCTCTTGCCCAGTATTCGCATTGTGCTGACTTGACTGCCACCGTAAAGGCGCGCGACCCCGGTTTCATACATTGATTTTTGTGGATGCGGGCTTTCAAGAATCTCCAGCAACTATCAATTGTTTGAGTTCCCGACTTGCGCCATTTTTTTTGCCATCGACGCTATGCTGCACTGTAGCTACGCATTTTGGCTTTGTCCAAAAGTAACGCCCAGTCTTCTGGTTGAACACTCTTTTCCTCTTGTGTACGACCTGGTCCCGCGCAGTTCCTGGGATGTTAGTTTCGCGATAGGCTCTTGCTGAGTCAGTATGTATAACAACACAGCGGTTCTGCAAATGTTTCTTGGCGATGGCTTTCCACTGATCCTTTGTTATCGGCCCTGGGCCCGGCGACCTCGCCAGGGTGGGCGAGTTCTTCGAGCGAATGAGCATGAGAGTTCCTGGGTGGCCTCGACGCAGTATACCAATCCAGTTTTCCCAAGCAAGCGCCTTGTCAGACGTGCTGCGTGGAGGGCGGAGTAGCATCTTGCCGAACGAGGCTTCGTCAACTTCGATGTCGTGCCACTTCTCCGCCGGTACTCTTTTCTCGCTGCCATATGTCATGACCTTCTCCTTTCGCTGCACGTACAGTTTGCGGGCATTCTGTAGTAGGCCGTGCGTGTGGATTACGGACCCACGCGCATGCCCCGTCAAATGGATGGTGCTAGTCACGGAGTTCGTCGTGGACAGACATAGTAAGTTCATGAGCTGCTGGTGGAGAGGTGCCGAACGTCGCCCACGATGCAGTAGTGGACATTGTCCCCATGGAAACTCACGATGTTGACACTTATAAGACGAGCAGCGGTGGAATGGCTTGCTCCCGTCAGATCGAAACTGCTTGTCACCAAGAAATCCCTCCTTACACACAGGACAGTGCTCCCCATGCAAGTCTTTTGCGAAACCTAGCTTGAGCATGAAATCCCAGATCTCTGCCTCTGTCATGCGGGCCAAGTCAACTAAAGTTTTGCTTATTTTGCGATCCCGTGGATCTCCTCTGATTCCTGCTGCCGCGGACTGCGTGTAGGTGGCGCGCGCGCGGGCACTCTGCCGCGCGCGGGCTTGCGCCGCTGGCTTTTTGGCAAGTCCCAGAGTATTCATAACGCTGCGGCCATTGCGAACTCTGCCGCGTTTCGGCGCAAATTTCCCCATACTTCACACCGCGGGTATCTGTTCTTGAGCCGAATCGCCGAGAGAACCCACCTCTTCCCACTCCTGGCAGCGATGCTCGAGCAAGCCACCGGACATAGGTCTGACGACGACTGCAACATGTTTTCCTGCATCCTCGCTTCCAGGCAGTCGACGTCAGCTGGGGCCGCCAGCGCAGGGCGCGCGCACCGCGCGCTGCAAATGAGCGGAGGCGCCTGCACAAAAAAGCGCCCGCGCTGAAACGGCCCTGGATGCGCCGCCCCTGCTCAACAGTGACCTATGGTACACGCAACGCCGCTGCCGCAACAATCGGGCCCATGACAGATTGCACATCGTCGCAGCGGAGAGCGCAGCGAAGTATTTCAATGAAATGCTCCGCGCCCCGCTCAGCGGGCATTCTCCCCGCGCAAACATGCATGGCCAAATAATTACGCCTTCTACCGAGCCACCGAGCCTACGCCAGAGTAGGCGGGCATGTCGCGCCAACGCACTCCTGCCCCCCGGCATTCGCTCGACGCCCTGCAAGCGCGCCGCGAGCCGACGCAGCATCGGCAACTGATATATGCGGAGCAGCGGCGTCAACCCTGCGCGCGACGCCAGGACTGCTGCATCCGCGAGGCAGGCGATAGCGCGAGAAAATCTCGCGGTCACGCGATGAAGCAGACCACCTGGTACCACTCACAACTCTCCGAAGGCGTGCCGTCGGGCAGCAGGTGCCAGGCGGAATGGCCCACGCTGATCTGCTCTCGCAGGCCGTCAATGAAATGCACGCGGCCTTTCTCAACAATGCCGCCGATGGCGTGCCCTGGGTGCTCGGGCGCGGCATCGTAAACGATGACGCAGCGCCCGGTCTGGGAGCCCCTGGCCGACCGGGGTCGCGAGCGGAGAAACGACAAACCGAAGAGGCTGATCATAGCCTCTGCCTCGCCCAGAGCGTAGGGGCCCGGGCGATCGCAGGGCACGGGAACGCCAATTGCGTTGAGGGCGTTCAGGAGGCAGCAGTCTGGGTATTACAGCACATTCTCGGGGCGGACCTGCATCGACAGGGCGGAGCCGAGTGGTCTGTCGTACAGGCGGGCCCCCCGCGGGAGGCGGGCGGGCGGCTCGCCCTCGGCCTCGCTCTCGCCCCCGCTTGAGAGAACGTCGATCACGGCGCCGCTGGCGCTGGCTGCGGCGGGCGCCGCGGCGGGACTGCCGGGCTCTCTCTTCGGTCTCGCGGCCGCGCTCGGCGCGGACCTGGCGCCGCTGGCGCTGTCCGATGCGTGCCCCGCAGCGGCGCTGCCGGGATCCCTCTTCGGTGTCGAGCCATCAAGTGCGTCGGCCGGATCCAACTCCACGCGCTCGCGCTTCGTGGGGAGGGGGCATCGGAACGCGCGGCGCGACATACCTGTCGGCGCCAGCGACCCCGCGGCCGGCAGGCGGAAGCGATACTGGCCGTCAGCATCCGCCCGCACGCGCACGCCGCCGGAGTCGGGCGCCGGCGCGCCGGCAGTCGCGGGAACGCGGTGAATCGAAGGTGCAGCTGGCGCGGCGCTGGCTGACGATAGAAGGTCGGCCGTGCGATTCGCCCACCACGACGCGATTTCCTCTGAGGTCTTCTGCCGCACCGCCTCCTGCATCTCGCATACGAGACTGTACTCGTTTTCGACGTGCAGCGCATAGTCCGGGCGCACGCAGTCCTCATGGTCCATGCCCTGGTAGAACCCGGGCAGGGCGCCCTTGTTGCCAGGCAGCAAGAAATCGGACGCGACGTCGCCCTGGGTGAACTTAGAGATTTGGGCAGCGTCGTCGGAGCTGGGCGCTCGCACATACAGAGCGTGCCGGCCGACGACCACCAGCACGAACCGCTTGGCGAGGGCGAGCCTGTGCGATTGGCCCAGGTAGCCGAAGGGCTTCTCGAGCATCTCCATGAAGAGCTGCGGGTCGACGAAGAATCCAGCCGAGGGCGGCGGCTCAGAATCTTCAGACCAACTATTGCTGAGAAGCGCGTGGAACTGTCCCTTTGCCCATTTTTTTTTTGGGGGGGGGGGTATATCTCGCGTCAGAATGGCCGACTGTGTGGATGGCGCCGAAGGCCTTCAGGTCCTCGACATCGATGCGGTCCAGAGACGGATCGTCGAGCAGTATACCCTCATAGACAGGAGTCGCTTTAAGGTCGATGCCCTTGCTCCGCGTCACGTATCGACCCCAGGCCATGGCTGCGATCTGGCACAGGGGGGTCTTCCCCACTCCGGGGGGGGCCATGGTGCCAGAGAGCGGGGCGAAGGCATAGATCAATGGCAGCAGCAGATCTTGGATGACAGGGTGCAGGTCGTACGACGTCAGCGGGAAGAAAGTGTCTACATCGGCCGAGGCAGATGCCTTGTCCATGTTCAGCAACGCCTTCTCGATCTGGCTAGTTATAGCAGGCGCTTGACCGGGCCTTAGTCTGCAGCAGCACCCACTCCTGAGCTTCGATCGCACTCGAGCCGGCAATCTCATGGTAGTGCTCGCGGATGTATGCGAAGCCGTCGCGGATCTCTTCTGGCGTCGGGCCCCACCCCTTCCCTTGCTGATCTTTCGGATGCTCCTTGCGGGTCACACTGAAATGGCGAACGTGGAATCCAGGCAGGCGGTCGAGCATCGCGTTGAAGTTCTTCCGCTGGCCCCACGTATTGTTTTCCTTGGCCGCAGGGAACGTCGCCGACTGGCCCATGGTGTACAGGTGCGCGTCTGCACGCTTCAGGTTGCTACCGTGCTTGAAGATGAAATGGCGCAGCACGTTGTACCGCCCCACACCGGCTCGCTGGACGACGAACTGCGCCTTCACACTCGCAGGCGCTCCCTGAGGAATCTTCAGCACGTCCGGCAAGCCCGCCATTGCCTGTGGCCCACCAACCACTCTCGAAGGTAGTCTTGACCTCCTGTTCGTCGATGCTACCCGACCACGACATCGCCACGTCGAGCAGGTTCTGCATGTGGGCGACCTGGTCGACTGGGCGGAAAAGGAAGTCCTCCATCTTGAGCGCGACCGCCACGTCTTCAGGGTTCACCATCCTGCCTTGGTTGTCTGGCCGACTGCCGGGAGCATTTTTTGATCGCATACGTCACCTCTCTCGGATGGTGAGATGGCGAAAGATCGAAGACCCGATCGAGCAGAATTCGAGGTATAGCTGAGACTGGAAAGGAAAAACACTCGGAGCATGACCGGGATCACACTCGGTAGTTCTAGGGGCGATCAGCTGCGCGATCTGGCAAGATCCGATCACATTGCCAGCTCAGGCGCAAGCATTGGGCGGCCGTCAGGGTGACGAGGCGAGATTCGCCATCATCCAGACGGCGCAGCTCAGCAAGGCGTTCGTCCGCAGACAAAGGCATGGTGGCCACGTGGATCTCGACTCTGATCGACTGTTCGTTTGAGCAAGATTGGCGAAGATACGAAAATAAACCGAGTAATGGTAACAAGATGCCAGTGCCCTATCTGACGGACATTGTTTGGAATCGTTTTTCGGGCCATTTTCCCATCGAGCAATGAAACTTCGGTGATTCATCTCCGGTCGACCGGAGACCGGAGATCCCTCCAGGTTTCATATCCGGTCGACCGGAGACCGGAGACCGGAGATCCCTGGAGCTCCAGGACTCATTTCCGGTCGACCGGAGACCGGAGACCGGAGATCCCTCCAGGACTCATTCCCGGTCGACCGGAGACCGGAGACCGGAGATCCCTCCAGGACGCATCTCCGGTTGACCGGAGACCGGAGACCGGAGATCCCTCCAGGACTCATTCCTCCAGGACTCATCTCCGGTCGACCGGAAACCGGAGACCGGAGATCCCTCCAGGACTCATCTCTGGTCGACCGGAGACCGGAGACCGGAGATCCCTCCAGGACTCATCTCCGGTCGACCGGAGACCGGAGACCAGAGATCCCTCCAGGACTCATCTCCGGTCGACCGGAGACCGGAGACCGGAGATCCCTCCAGGACTCATCTCCGGTCGACCGGAGACCGGAGACCGGAGATCCCTCCAGGACTCATCTCCTCCGGGATCTCCAGTCGACCGGAGACCGGAGACCGGAGATCCAGGACTCATCTCCGGTCGACCGGAGATGTGTCCTCAGACGATCTCCGGTCCCCGGTCTCCAGTCGACCGGAGATGAGTCCTCAGACGATCTCCGGTCGACCAGAGATGAATCCTCAGACGATTTCCGGTCGACCGGAGACCGGAGACCGGAGATCCCTCCAGGACTCATCTCCGGTCGACCGGAACTCGACCGGAGACCGGAGACCGGAGATCCCTCCAGGACTCAACTCCGGTCGACCGGAGATGTGTCCTCAGACGATCTCCGGTCCCCGGTCTCCAGTCGACCGGAGATGAGTCCTCAGACGATTGCCGGTCTCCGGTCGACCAGAGATGAATCCTCAGACGATCTCCGGTCGACCGGAGACCGGAGACCGGAGATCCCTCCAGGACTCATCTCCGGTCGACCGGAGATCAGTCCTCGGACAATCTCTGGTCTCCGGTATCCGGTCGACCGGAGATGAGTCCTGGAAGGATCTCCGGTCTCCGATCGACTGGAGATGAGTCCTGGAGGAATCTCCGGTCTCCGGTCTCCGGTCGACCGGAGATGAGTCCTGGAGAGATCTTTGGTCTCCGGTCTTCGGTCGACTGGAGATGAGTCCTGGCCAATCTCCGGTCTCCGGTCGACCGGAGATGAGTCCTGGAGGGATCTCCAGTCTCCGGTCGACCAGTGATGATCTCATAGGATGGCGTGAGTTACAGGTTTGTGAGTAGGCGGCCTGACGAAACTGCGATGCTACAACATATGTCGTAAGATATCTGGAGGCGTTTGAAGTTCAAAGGTTGGCGATCTCTTATCGGTATCGCCCGATAGGGTGCCGCCACCCATATATATATATATATATATATATATATATATATGTGTGTGTATGTTTGCATGTATGCATGCACGTATGTATGTATGTATGCATGTATGCATGCATGCTTGCATGTCTGTACATGTGTATGTATGCATGCACGCATGCATGCATGTATGTGTGCATGCGTGTGTGAATGCACGCACGCATGAATGTATGCATGCGTGCATGTATGTATGTATGCATATGTATAGGTGTGTTCGTTTATGTATGCGTACATTTATGCATGTATGTATGTATGCATGTATGTACGTATGTCGATATCCATGCATGGATGCATGCATGCATGCATGCATGTATATGTGCGTATGTGTGTATGTGTGTATGTATGTATGTATGTATGTATGTATGTATGTATGTATGCATGTTTGTGTATATGTTTGCATGCATGCATGCACATACGTACGTATGTATGTATGTATGGTATGTATGTATGCATGCATGCATGTATGTATGTATGTGTGTGTATGTATGTATGTATGTATGTATGGATGGATGGATGGATGGATGGATGGATGTATGTATGTATGTATGTATGTGTGTATGTGCGTAAGTAATTATGTATGTATGTGTATGTATGTATGTATGTATGGATGTAGGTATGTATGCATGTATGTATATATGTATGTGTGTATATACGTTCGTATACATATGTATATATATGTATGTATGTATGGATGTGTGTATGTATGTTTACACACGTAAGCATGTATGTATGTATGCAGGTATGTATGTTTGTGTATATATACAGAGAGAGAGAGAGAAGCATCGTCGCCTTCCTTGGTGCCCTCTCTTAGTCTATGTCTTTTCTTTGTCTGTGCACACGAAGGGCTACGCCCTCGGCTGCCGGCCCCCCCGAAGTTGAGACGTCTTGCGAATTCCCGCGGCTCCGCGGACTGCGTCAGGCGCTCCTCTGTAAGAGGAAAGCTCTGCATCCCGCTCCTCGTCATCCTGGTCCGCATCCTGCTCTTCGGCATCCTGCTTCCTTCCCCTTTCCCTCATCCTGCTCCTCGTCATTCTCCCTCCATCCCAGCTTCGTCGGCTGGGCCCCACGCCGGCCACTGGTGGTAGCCTCATGGCGCCACTGGAGTGCGACCTCGCAGTTGACATCCGCAGGCCGCCCTAGAGGAATCATGGGCAGGATTCCTCTTCGACGCCAGGGACGACAACGATCCATTCGGCTCCGGAGGATCCCTCGACCAGCCGCCGGCCCCTCCACCAGACGCATGCAGGGTCACGACGGTTACCGTCGGACAGGGGAACCGCAGAGCTCGCCTCCACATCTGGTGGTTTGGCAGCACCTTTCGAGGAGGCCTGAGGCGACGACCATCCCGACGCCGAGGACGACCACGATCGTTTCGGCTTCGGAGGCTCAGTCGACCCTTGGGCAGTGGAACCGCACCCCTTCGCCCCGGCTGCCCCACGTGGCCTCGCAGCGCCCGCCCGCGTCTTCCCAGCGGACGGCCACCGCGACCGACCTGGAGCGCCGTCAGGAGCTCGCTCTGACCAGGACTACGGCATCCTCGGTCTCGGAGGCGATCTGCATACAGCGGAGGCCCATGCCAAGAAACACCCCGCTTGCCTCCAGGGTGCCCTGGGTTTTTTGAGTTTCGATGGTCTTGCCGTGGAACGCGTGAAGCTCCCCCGCGCAAGAAATCGATGGACGTCCTGGGGTCTCAGGGTTGGGCTTCCTGTGGAAGGCTTCCTGTGGACTGGCCTCCGCTGCATGCAGCTGTCGGTGCTGGCACCTGCACTGAAACCCGCACGCGCCGCCCACTTCGGCCACCGCCGCGGCTGCAGCGATCCTCCTCTTCCTCCTCCTCTTCCTCCTCCTCTTCCTCCTCCTCCTCCTCCTCCTCGCCCCCCCCTCCTCCTCCCCTCCCTCCTCCTCCTCATCCTCCTCCTCCTCCTCCTCCTCCTCCTCCTCCTCCTCCTCCTCCTCCTCCTCCTCCTCCTCCTCCTCCTCCCCCTCCTCCTCCTCCGCAGCGGCCAGGAGGGGGGCGCCACAGCAGCAGCGACGCTCCCCGCTCCCCGCGCCCGGGCCGGGCGCGCGGCGGGCCCCCACGGGGCACGCGCCGTCGGGGTCGCCGCGCCCGGAGCGGCACCCCCACCAGCTCGCGGCCCCCACCAGGGCGCCAGTCCACTGCTACTGTCAAGTCGGGCCTGTCCCTCTACAGGAGGAAAACTCAAGAATAGTCAAAACAGACTCTGGGGATTTTTGAGCATTCTTGGAGTATTGTTTGATTATTGTAGTGGCCTCCGGCCAGTGCCGCCGATCGGGGGCGCTCCTAATGCTATTGTTGTTGAAATGGACGATGACGACGACAACGGACGACCAACGGTCGACGAGCGGGATAATTACGACGACGGCCGACGAAGGAGTTAATGACGACGAATCGACGACGACGACGACGACGACGACGACGACGACGACGACGACGACGACGACGACGACGACGACTGACGGCGAACGGCTGCCGACGGCCGACGACCGACGACTGGTGATGGCGACGGGTGGAAGGTTCTTCGTTCATCGCTTTCGCTTCCGAGCAATATCAAGGTAGGCCGTGCACCTCTGGCCTGGCAGCACGCGAGTGAGCGCCTCTTGGGGTCTCTTGGGTCTTGGGGCTTCTTGGGAGCCTTTGGGGCCTCTTGGGGGCCTCTCGGGGTCCTCTTGGGGGCCTCTTGGGGACCTCTTGGGGGCCTCTTGGGGGCCCCTTGGGGGCGCCTCGGGGGCATCTTGGGGGCTCTTGGGGTCATCTTCGGGTGGAGGACTAGAAGGGTCCGTTCGGGTTCACCCTCTTGAGGCCATCTTGGGGGCCTCTCGGGGTCGTCTTGGGGGGCCTCCAGGGCTATATTGTGGCCCTCTTGGACCGTCTTGGCTCCTCTTGGGGGCCTCTTGGGCTGTCTTGGGGCGATCTTGGGGGCCTCTTGGACCGTCTTCGGCGCTTCTAAGACGGAAAAGGCGATAATGTTAAAATGCTTCAAAATTTATTAGCAACTTTATTATTGTACCCTCTTGGGGCCCTCTTGGGGGTCCTCTTGGGATCTCCTTGAGGCGTCTTGGAGGCCTCTTGGGCCGTCTTCAGGCCATCTTGGGCGTCCAGGAGCGCTCTTGGGC